AAGTGTGTTAATACAGAAATTCATCGATAGTGGGGTAAAGAAATTTTGGTTTACTGGTGAGGGACTACCATTATTTCCAAATGTCTCTCTTCAACAATTGCATGAGATTTTTGTCAAAAAATCGGCTAGCGACAATCAGTGCTCATGTCTAGAATCAAAAGTAAAACAAGGAAAATTATCACAGATATATATACATCACAGCAAATAAAAATTCTTTGTTTGAAATTAGCTGGAGGCTAAAAGAAAATGCAAAAATAGAAAAAAACTAATTTTTAACGATACAGCATCTGAGTCCTCATCTGGGTCTGAATCATCTAGCCACGAAGTGACTGCCTCCGGCAATGATGATAAAGATTTTACTGTGAAAGTAGTGAAAGCAAAGAAGCATAATTAGTCTTTATCATAGATCCGGAATAGTCTTGCTTGCTTTGGAGATTAATTTTTTCTGCGATAATTCACTACAACATAATTCTGTACTGGAGAAGTATGGTTGTCGGGGTTGTGATGTAGATATTCTCCAGCAATGGTATAAGCATGGGCCATATTCTTAGCCTCATATACTACCACACCATAAACAGCACTCATTTTTCGTAAGTATTTGGGAATTAAATCATAATCTTTTAAAAATTTATTGAACCATTTAACTCCTGGCTTACCTGGATCACCCATTCATCTAGATGATATAGCACGCTGAATCCAAGTGAGTAGTTCTTTGGCTTATTCTTGATTCTTTTCCATCGATCTAAATTTTCTAGGAATATCTGGCTGACCTCGATTCTTCGCATATTACGGTACTCCAGCATCTGTAATATGTAAAGTTTTAAGTTCAGCAGGACGAATACAAAGCATTATCATAACATCAGCAAGAGCCTAACAATCAGGTAAAGTTTTAATATCATATGTATCTAATCTTTCTTTGACTGATTCTAATGTAAATTTATCTGGAAATACGTTTAGCTTCAGCTTTTTTTCAATTAACACTCTGGATTTTGTTGGCATTTTCTGTAATATCTGGAAATTTTGTAACCTCAATTATCTCAAGTGATGCATTAAGGTTCCTTAATTCTCTATGAAGACGAGTGAGACATGATAAGCCAGCATTAGCATTTTTTGCTGATAGGGCTAAGGCATAAGCTTCAGCTCTTACATCTCTAATGCTAAGTTTATCCTGTAAAATCCGGTGTGCCATATCCCCAATTGTTTCTTCCTCCATTCCTTTAGAGAGTTGATTGGCGATTACAATATTTATGTTTTTATCTGAGGTAATTACACTGTGTCTACTTTTGTTTTTCAGGATTGTGAATAAAGCATTTACTTGATCTTCACTAAACCCATATCTATTTTGCAAGATTCGTTTTGCTTTCTCTCTGACGATCTCTTCTTCTAAACTTTTTGGGGACTTGGTTATAGCTATTCTATAATTACCTTCAACCAAATTTATAGTTTTATTTTTCCACTTCTCTGATTAGGTATCAATACACCTACCTGTTCACTACTAAATTTAAAACCATCCCGAAGACGTCGTTGAGCTTGATTTCGCTTTCTATCATCAGTAAGATTCTCAAGAAACTCAGAGGTATATTGACTAAGCTCGGATATATCCATCTTCGGGGTGAGTTTGTATTTTTCAACGATTTTAGTTGTAATGGCTATCATGATTGAATGTTATAATAGGTTGGGTAGATTATGAACAGTTCTTTAGGTTATATATACCATAAATATTCTTTTTTCAAATCGAAATTAATTACGCTTTTTTCCTCCTATACCTAGAAAAAAAGAGTTTATGTACTTGTATAAGCAAAAGTAGTATATCAATTTGAATTTACTAACATATAGGATATAACGAAAAAAAATTATAGCTTTGAGTTGTGGTAATTCAGGCTAATAATTGGGCATTATGTTTTATTTTTTAGTATAATACTCGAGCTAGAATTAATATATGTTCTGGCTCTAGAACATTTGTCTTGGTGAATGTATCGTATAAGGCGTTTGGACTATATTTTGAGGAAATCAAATTTGGATGATGGAGAAATTTCATAAGTATAACACTTCTCTATTCACGTGCTTTATTACTATCCCAACACATTTCTAATAATGCAGCTAAGCTGGAGTAATTCATCTCGATCAAGTTATCTAAAGACGTTTTTCCATTTCTTTCTATAGTGAAAAGACTCATTC